CTTTTTCTTTCTTTCTTTCTTTCTTTCTTTCTTTCTTTCTTTCTTTCTTTCTTTCTTTCTTTCTCTCTCTCTCTCTCTCTCTCTCTCTCTTTCTTTGTACAATAATGACAATAAAAGAAGAAAAACACATGCAACACGCAACAATACATTAGTTAGAATTATAAATTGTCATGATCTCAGGGCCTCTCTGCTGCTCTAGCATTTAGTTTTTTCTTTGATTCATTTCAATTTAACGGTATTGAGGACTAGACATTAAACTTCAGCGTGCTTCTGTGTGATGATGGAAGAGATGGGAAGGCAGTGGTGATGAGAATTTCACCAGGGTTGGGACGTACGTGAGGTGGTGACACAGGCCAGGTGATGACTGTTGACGTCTGAAGGACTCCTAGAGCCTTAGTCTGAACATTCGAAGAAATCTTCTGTAGCTCTGGATTTCTTTCCTGATGTTATGATTTGTTACCCACTTATAGAGGTGGGCAGTAGTTAAACAATGCCGGAAGACAGACTAGATGGGAACAATTACTGTATCACTGGTTAGTCCCTGTGGTGGTGGTGGTGGTTGATCAGTCCATTCAGTCTTTTCTGTTGGAGAGCAATCCTACTTCTTTCAAGTCGTCCTCTCCCAGGTGGCAGGCTATCTGACCCAAGGCAGGCACAAGTGGAGTCCAGGGTTGTGCACAGCACAGAGCTGGGCAAAATACAGCCAGGTGTGAGGTTGGTTGATCATCTGGTTTCTATGCGGCGAGTCCTCTTTTGGAGGAAACAGGACCAAACTTCTCTTACTAGGTTCGCAATACCCTAAGTATGGTATAGTGATGTGTATTTGGTATGCTTAACACATCGTCACGGGCTTGAAGCATCACATGTTAATATTAAGGAGTATTTGATTTGGCTAGTTTTTTTTTTTGTTGTTGTTTTTTTGTTTTGTTTTTTGAGACAGGGTTTCTCTGTGTAGCCCTGGCTGTCCTGGAACTTTCTTTGTAGATCAGGCTGGCCTTGAACTCAGAGATCCACCTGTCTCTGCCTCCTGAATGCTGGGATTAAAGGCATGTGCCTGGCGACTTGGCCGTTTTTTAAATATCATATACAAATTCATTCATTCAATGAGTATTTATTGTATGCTAAAGAATGTATGACGAGCAGAGTAAGATTTTCTCACAGAAGTCTTCTGGTCCTAACTGGACTGTGGATCCCTTCCAAAGCAGAAGCACTGTACCTTCCTCATCTTTCTGTCTCCGGGCATCCTGTAGAAGAAACTCAGCCCAAGCAAAAGGCACACAACCAGACCATCATGCCCATGACCCAGATATTCATTTGTATGTCTTAGTCATCTTTCTAGCTGGAATTTAAGCACAATAAGAATGCAAATGCCTTCTCCCTGAAGAATACATTTGGCTGCAGGATGATGTTAGACCTTTTGCTTAGTTTAAATGTGTAATTTATATGCCCATTTAAAAAGAAGATGGAATCAACAACAAATATAAACTCTCCAGGGACTCATGAGTTTCTGAGTGTGAAAATAACGGTTTAAAAGAGGGCTCCTCTCTGTCTCAGATCCTCCTTCACGCAGCCCAAGGAAATGAGGAAAGAAATCCAAACACACAGAAGTTTTTAGGGCCGAACATTTTGATTCAATATGTTCTGCTATAAAGTATTTGGCCTTGTTAGAGCTTTTATCGCTCCATGTTCCCAGTCTGTGCTTCATGGTGAGAAAAACAAATAAGACGGTGATGTGCAAAATGTTCTTTTCAAGTGTGTGGCAGCGAATTTGAGAAAATACATATTAAAGGAATGTCTTGTAACGTTTAGTGCCTTTCCTGAGGCCTCCCTCAGTAAGTCTGATTCAATATTTATTGTATTAAGGACTTAGCTCACTTGGAGTGAGCACTTCTGAAGGGCCCTCTCGGCGCCACCTAAGACAAGGACCTTATTTCACCATGCTCTCAAATGAGGATGCTTTTATGCGCTGTCTTTTTGCATACATGTGGTAAAGCTCTAATTAGAAAGTTTTATAATGGAGGCATGCAATTCCCCAACTTCTTATTTGCTTGAATTAACTTTTTACAAGCTGAGGTGTTCACTCTGGCATGGGCTTAATCCAGACTCTGTAATCAGCCTACAATCTGTGCCTCACAAAGGCTGGCATCCTCCACTGCCTGCTTCTTCCTTCCATACCCTTCCCGTGGGGTAATGCATTTTAATTGGTACCTCTCTGTGAGCCCCTTACATCTCCGTCTGGTCAAATAGACACTTTTTTTTTTTTTTTTTTTTTAAGATCCAGCCCTAACATCTTGGCAGTTAACAGGAGGATAGGCTTGCCCCTATAGGCCATCTTTGAGATGACAAAATCCCCAAATTGGAAGAGAAGGTGCAGGAAACAAAGCATTTACCTCAATAGTGCTGTACCGACTGAATGAACGCAGGCATCTGGCATGCTTAGCATGGAGCCTTGCTCGTATCCACTGACAATGACTTTAGTGAGGTTGGTGGACTAGACCCCTTGGGCAGCAGAAAAGGTGAGGAATGGTGAGTGGGTAGCAACTGGTTGCTGCCAATGAGCAGTGCACATGGATCACTCACCAAACATCACCATAAGGAATAACCACAAGACAATGGGGCCTGGGTGCTCGGTCCCTCATGGAGTGTGGCCTCAGCTCTTTGAGGCACAGCTGGGCAGAATGTTTTCCCCAACCTTCAGGGTCATTTGGGTGAAATAAAGATTCTTTCAGAGTAAAACATCTCTCTCTTCCTTCATTCGTTCATTCCTCCCTCCCCCTCCCTCCTCTTCTCCCTCCCTCCCTCCGTCTCTCCCTCCTTGAAATAAATAATGGAGACTGGACCCAGGATTTCGTACTCGCTTTGCAAGTGTTCTACCACAAAGCCATCCCAACCTTGCTCTCTTGATAACCACAAACAGGTCACAGACTCCTCTCTCTCCTTTCTGATTCTGTACCCCTTCCTTCTGGCATCCTGTCCTTTTTGCACAGCCACTCCAGTGAGAAGAAGCCCTTCTCAGCATGAGGCAGCGATCAGACACTACTCTGTAAATTAGTCCAGTGGGGGGCGTTTACCAAGCAGAAGGCCAGCTAGAGCCCATGGGCTCACAGACCCCTGCCCATCCGAAGGTGCACAACTGGTTCTTTGTAACAGGGGCGGGGGGCACTCACCGGTTGCCTTTTCAGGGTTGTTGCACATGAAGCATTGCCATGCCCCTGCTGTTTCACTGAAGCCAAACACGTCAAAGAACCTCACTTCTTCCAGATGGAGCTGAACCTGCTCCAGATCCTGTTTCGGGAACACAAAACACAAAGGAATGAGCACGCCTGCCGGCTGCGCTGCGGAGCGCCTGACACCAGAAGAAGGGGATGTGGAGCTGGGAGGGCTGGTGCTCAGCAGCAGTGCTGGGACCAAGAGAGCACCGAGAGGGGCCTCTCTTGGCCAGCCGTGGAAAACGGCACTTAGCTCAGATTCTTCCATGGGATGGCTCTTCATTGTGGAGTGAGGGAACACAGCCTCGGGCCCAAAGCTGTGTGCAGGGAGAGACACCAGAATCTGAAGTGGCTCAGAATTTTCCTGCATTTGAAGCACCTCTAAAATTTCTATAAAGAAAGGACATCTGAGTGACACTGTGGTTGAAGGAAATGCTGCTGGAGAAATGGCTCCATCTATCTGTCTGTCTATCATTTGTTTTGTTTTTTTGAGACATTGTTACTCTGTGTAACAGACTCAGCAGTCCTGGAACACCCTTTGTAGACCAGGCTGGACTCACTCAGCTCACAGAGATCCACCTGCCTCTGCCTCTGAAGGGCTGGATTAAAGGTGTGTGCTACCAACACCCGGCTGAATACCTTTATATTTAAGTTGCATATAAAATCGAGAACTAAATACCCCAAATATCATTTTCATAAGCTTGGCTTTTTAGAGAGAGATGGAAAATACAGAGATGGGCTCATTTGTCCTCATCTCCAGTACTATTTACCCTTAAGATTTATCTTAGATCTATATACATATATTCTCTCCTATTCCACAATATAGTGCTGTTGGTTTTAGTGGGAAATCATCTTTGAAATTGTTTCTCAGTAAATTAATCATATTTTTTAGTAAATGAGTAGAATTTGACACTAGTTTTCAGATGGCCTGTGGTACCCTGACCTCATATTCTTCTTCAGGAGGCAGAGCAGAAAGACGGTCCCTTAGACCATAAGGAGATGGAAAGCCACTAGCCCAATGAAATGACATTTCTCTACTGTCCTCCAGGGGCTTTCCGGTTATGTAAATAACCTGTATCCTGTGTTATCAGGCACCAGGACTACACTCTGGAGAGCTTGATCCTCCTAAGAAGGACTTGTGTTCTTGCTTGCCTAGCTTACATGCACGCCTTCAATGTACTTTGTAGGTGCTGGTGTACTAGCACTATGACTTCACTTTCTTGCCTTTGGTCCTGTACTTTCACCTTTTCTACTTGTTGTAATAACTCTCAGCATTCAGAAAGGCCAAGTGTTGCTTGTGGTGTTTGCGTGGCTTCAGATGGACCTGAGTGGAGAAGGGGCAACGGGTTACGGGTTACACAGATCCCACCCCAGAGCTCCTGCTTCTTCATCTGTAGACACAGATGGGAAGCGTACCAGACTCTGAGCCATTTGAGACCAGAACTCAAATCTGCTTTGGTAACAGCTGCATCCTGAGTATCCAGTGTAGCCCTGGAAATGGAGAGGCATCACTGGTTTATAGGCCCAGTACAAATCCCAAAGAACTATATGAAAGGCATAATGGCAATTTAAGAATTCTTTTTAGAGAACATTCATGTTCACCAGAAGATAAACACAATGAGGACAGGGATCTTGTTTGTTGAACTGGATGTTTGAAACCTCAGCCTCTGAAAGTGCTTGTCACACAAACAAGCATTAAACAAACCCTTCTAATGAAAACCACAGACCAGGCCTTTCAGCGTCTTTATTAACAAAACTGTGTGTTACAATCCGGGATTAGACATTTTGGAGGTTTAATATGCTGAATACAGTATTTTGGATTCCTAACATTAGACACATTTCAACAGACCCTGTGTGTGTGTGTGTGTGTGTGTGTGTGTGTGTGTGTGTGCAAGCACACATGTACGTGCACATGCACCCATACTCATGAATGAATGTTGTCTTAACAAAATGATTTAGAATGTGTTTATTGGAAAAAAGAGACTTTTTTTTTTTTTTTAAAGAATGTTCCCCAAGATAAAGACCAAAGAAGCACCTGGGAGCTTGGTATGTTTCAAAGGATAAAATCCATATTAAAATTTATGGGAAGAAAGCAGATGTTCATAAATATCTGTTTCAAAACTGCAAGGTCTCTGAAGTCTGCCCTTGGCCATCGGCATGCAGATCAGTCTTTGTTTCTCACACAATTAGAGATCAATTCTTCATTCCCCGCAAACACTACTAGCAAACAAAGTACTTAAATAATACGTAGAGCTTCCTTTATTTTTCCTGTTCTGAGACCGGGAATGTCCCAGGTTGTTGCCTATAATCCACACTTGCCTTGGCAAAAAGTTATTCAAGAAGTTTAAGACAGATGGTGGGCCATATCCCAGAGCTCAAGTCCTGAAGCCAAGAGCAGGTTTAGTCCTTCAGAGGACTGAGGTGTTATGCAAAGGGATCCAAGTAAGGAAGATGGACGGTAGTTACAGGAATGATTGCACTTGGCAGTGACAGCCAACTTTAAATAGATTTCAAATATCTGTGGAAAGTCAAAGTAAGTCACAAAATAAGCAAGTGCAGACTGCCAGTGATATGTTTTGGAATTTGTACATCTTAAATGTGCTTGGGGCCATTTTTTTTTAACTTATCTTTACCCTTCTGAGTCCTCAATTTTGCCCCAGAACTGATATACGGCCACATCTCCTTCCTTTCCTACTTACCTCCTCTTCAAAACAAGACAACTTGCTTCAAAAATTAGTTTAGAAAACTACAAACTTCCTTTTAGATATTTGGACTATAGAAGAATGATAAAAAGTTCATATCTGATTCTCCATCTCTCTCTTGGTATTTTAGTTCGGATGGGATTGTGGCAAATGGGCCTTCAGATGACCTACCAACAATGTTCATTTGTCAATGTTCAGCTGCTTGGATAATCCTTTACCCTTGAGTATTGGAGGCTCCTGTGTCTTTTTAGAAAATGGCAAAGATGACAGAATATCAATTTTATAACACACACACACACACACACACACACACACACACACACCACGCACCACACACACACACACCTTGCACACGTAAGATCCATCTTGCTAGCATTCACCTACAAAGGAAGGCTCTCCTACTGGCCTTGGAGAAACAAGAAACTCGAGGAAACTATGAGTAGCTTCCAGTAGCTAGCAAGAGATCAAGAACTGTGCTTATCCAACAACAAATAAATGTTTTTTGCCAACACCCTGGTCTTTTGGCTATTCTTAAAAAGAAGGAGGGTCCTACTCAGAAGAGTCAGTCTCCTAGGTGCCCTTCAAATCAGGTCTCAGTAAACTTGAGCTACAGTGAGCTCACATTGTTTATGAGGACTTAGGGAAGAGTTACATAATAATACCAGTAAACATGTTCTGAGAAGGATTTCTCTAGCAAGTGTTACTTAATTAAAAAAGTTAAAAAGTCACCCGAGGGAAAATGGTCTTATAAACACAGTTGTTTAAATAAGTTTGTCTCCAACTTTAGCAAAAAGTAATTAATGAAATTAAGAATCTGGAAAACCATAAAGAAGTCTCTTGTAAATCTACTTAGGGAAAAATAAACAAGGTAGCAGCGAGAGATAGCAGACATTTACAACATTATTTCATTATATTCTATAAAACTCTCTCTCTCTCTCTCTCTCTCTCTCTCTCTCTCTCTCTCTCTCTGTGAGAGAGAGGGGGGGGGCAACAGGAGGTAGCTTAGCAGGCAAAGACACTTGGGTAGAGGGGCTTTCCACCAGGCTTGATGACCTGAGTTCAATTCCTGGAATCCGTGGTGGGAAGAGATAACCAATCCCTCAAGTTGTCCCCTGCCTCCTGCATGTGCACATGGCATCCATGCCATGCCCTCCTCTAAGCACATAAATAAATGTGAAACTTGTTTTCAAAGTGTGAAGTGGGCTCTGGAGCTCATGCCATGGCTGATGTACTGAGAAGGTCTGGGAAGAGTTTTCTAGAAATCAGTCAGAACATACATCTGGAAGAACTTTGTCTTCTGGCACATTTAAATTCTGTTCTAAAGTTCTCCATGCACAGAAAGGAAACATGGGCTTGTCTCATGTACTGTGTGTGCTTCTGGTTAACAGGACTTCTAGCTTGAAAGCTCAAGTTCTTATAAGAAATAGAAATGAAAAAATTCAAGAAGTCTCTAAGGTTCTTGCACATTAGACTCCATGCCTTAATAGTAATTTCTAGAGTGCACACCCTAACTATAAGCAGTCCCAGGTATGAAATGAATTTATTGGGGGAGTATAATCAATAATTCATCTGTCATTGAACAGGCATGATGTAAGAAACACTATGTTGAATGCATGAATTAGCATGAGACTTTAAAGAATGTCCACCCTCTAACTTAATCTTTTTATTCTTTCAGCTACTGAAAAATACTGCTGTTGAATTCAGTTAATAAAGCACAGTGTCAGAGCAGCTGGTGTGTCAGGGACTATGGATAAAGGGATGAAGGTAGTATAGTTCTGCTGTCCCAGGAAGCAGGACGGGACACTGGAAGATGCCTTCCGCTTGTGTGCGGTGAGCAGCTTACTATATGAGCAGCTTACTATGTGACCTTTGACCTTGCACTGGACAAAAGCTCCTTCACAGAAAGACGGACTTTGGTGCTCTTTTGTCACTTTTGGAAATACGACAAACTCTTTTGCCCATAGTATAGTTCAATGAATTGTTATTTCACTAATTGAGGTACATATATCTTATTTCTAATTTATACCAAGGGTAACATTTGGGTTTTCTATTTTCATGTTTATTCAAGTATGCTCATTGAAGATGTGCAGAATAATTCTTTTCCTGTTTTTCAAGAAATGGGTCTTGCTATGTTGCTCAGGCTGGCCTCAAACTCATGTTCTAGAAATTCTGCCTCCTTGGCTGGGACAACAGGTGCAAGCTACCATGTTCATCTAGAGAACATCTTTCTGAATCTCTAATCTGGGAGGTGAGGATGTAGCTCAATGGTAGAGTACTTGCCTACCAGGTGCAATGCCTTGGGCTTATTCCCAAAAATGCAAATACAATACAAACAATACAATACAACACAATGCAACACAACACAATACAATAC